CTAAGCCTCAAGAACAACAATAACTAAAGGAATCAAAATTAGTGAGGAAAAGAATGAGTGGCATCATCCTCATTAGGATGGAGGAAGCCAGCTGCAAGTTAAAGCATGGATGCACTTCCAGTCTTATCCATATCCTAAATCACTGAGTGGTTACAAAAGCCAGCCTAGAGGAGGGACTGGGATTACACAGCAATGAAGTGATTTAAGCTTTCATAGAATTGCATCCCCTAAAGCAAACTGTCCATTAGGCCTCTAAGATTTAAAGCTGAGAAGGTACAAAGGTCAAAATATGCTGATCACATGAAAGTATTCAAGTTTTGGTCCCATTCAACCATTTTACAATAAGCCACTTTGAAACAGAGACACTTTTTCCTTGCCTTCTAAATTGTAGTCACTTTTTCAGAAAGTGTAACATGGGCTAACAGTGCACTCACCCTGTTGAGCCAAGTTGTGTTCTGATAAGCTGCCAATAACCTGAGCCACGGCAGTGTCAAAGGGGAGGCAGCACATCAAGAACAGTTTCACATCCAGCTGTAGCTCAAGCCAGATTGCTTTATCCATCTACAAAGCAAAGTTCATGGGAGGTAGATTTCACCCCTAGCTATGACTATGTCCCATCACACTTACACACATACACAACCATTACCTCTTATCTGATTTCTGCACAAATTTCCAAGTCAAACAAATCAAATGTATTTTTTAGTATTTAAAATCCAAGGTGGCAAAATAAACACTTATACAAGAGCGAATTAAATATCATGAGAAAATGAATAAAGCACATCACCAAGCATTTTAAAAATTAGCCACAGAGGCCTTTGGTTTGATCTCTGATATCCATATATCCACTGCCATGTTTCTTTTGTGATATTTTGCAATACATGCTTATTCATCAGAGACCAAAAAAGCTCTGAAAAGTCAAGCTGAAATTTCAACAAGTGTTGTTTGGCGTCTTTAGTTTGTGTTAGACCAGGTGGCAGCTGTCGAGAGATCATTTTGTTTTAACAACTTTTTGTTTTGTTAGCAAAGAAAAACATTGTCCAGCCAAATCCTGCTGACAGTGAATAAATATTTCTCCTCCATCAGACCAAATATTTTCATTTGTCATCCTAATAGCTAGATCTGAAAAGATTTTTCTTTCTATATGGACTCAAATATATTTGAATGGCTTGGTATTTTATGGGAGGTGATTATTACTCTGTACTGCTGAGGTTAGTCTGGAATACTGCACCACACTTTGGTCATGATACATCCAAAACTGGAGAGATTTCTAAGGAAAGCAAACAAAAGGCAGAAAACATGACCTCTGCAGAAGGACTGAGGAAAGTGGAACATCAAAATTTTATTGACACATCTTGTGAGTACAAGACTGTAATGATTATGTAAAGATGACCACATGCTGGCACTGGAACTAGGAATAATTGATCAAACATGAGGCTGAGCAAATCTATGGAAAAGGATTCCATCAGAACCTGTTTAGCTGACACCCACCACCACTGGGTCAAGAAGTCCCTGAGCCACAAATTGGTGAGGAATAGCCTGGAGAAGTATCAATATAATATAGGCTTCTCTCTGCATGTGCTTAGTCCCTGTCACAGACAAGATCCCAGAGCAGCCTGGCCCTTTACAATGACCAAGTGCCATTCTCACACTCTGCTTGCTTTTTCAGGTGAGATAGCATGAAAGTTATTAATTCTAAACAAGCAATTAGCCCTGGGAACAAGCCACTTGCAGAACAACAGCTGTCCTTCACCAAATAGTTTAAAGGACAAGGGCAGTTTAGTGTACTTGTCCTCTTGTTGGATAAAAAGAAAAGGAAAAAAAAAAAGAAAGGGATAACCTACAAGATTACAAAACTCAGTGCAGGCAAACAACTCCATGCAGTCCACTATGTAACTGGGTTTTTATTACTAAACAAATTAATGAGAAAGTTGCAAATTTTGCAGCTTCTGATAAACATAAATTTTCCAATATTGTAACAAATATTCACATAGAGACAGGTGTGCTCGGGACAAAGACAGAAATTGCAGTAAAAGTGGCTACTCTACCAGATTGCATCTTGCATTTATAAATCTAAGTGCAAGATTCAGTCATGTCCAGCAATCCTCTGCTGGGAGTAAAACTGTTCCATTTCTGTGACTGATGGCAGAAGCCTTCATGTTTGCAAATCTTGCCTGTAGTTGACAGAGGCACATTTAATTGCATTTGAAAGATGCTCTATTTATCTGTAACTTTCTACATTTGCTTCCATGACACAACCACTTAATTTCTGTCATGAATACCTACACTTAACAAAAGGGACAAGTTACTTTCTTATCACAGATCTTTGCCTAGTTTTAAGCTTTTACCTAGATCTTTAGCTGTAAAGTGAAGCAATATAAAAAGAGGTAGTGTTAGACTGCAATCCAATCCAAGAAACAAATAGTGTCTTTGGAGTGCTTTCCAGGAAGGACAGAAGGAGAAGAAATTATTTAATCCTATATAATTACTTGTTTCTTTATTTCATAGAACTACTAGTTAGAAATGGTATAGGGAAAATGCATTTATTGTGAAGAGCTAACTCTGCTCTTCACAAAGGATTTTGGCTGCTGCTATTCTTCATCATAACCCATAATTTAGTATGGACTTCCTGCTAAATGTTTCAAAAAGTTACAAAGCTCTAAGAAGCAAATGTTCTGTTTTCACAAAAATCCCTATCTTGGGTAACGAGCCAAAGAACACAGAACAGCACTCAGACCTTGACATGCTCAATATATTAAGACAACTCATTAGAGCTAATGCACACTTCGGTGTGTTCATAAACATTATTTTAAAGGCAGCAATAAATTATGCCAAGAAGTCTGTCAGGTTCGTGAAGGAACCTACAGCATGTATATACAGTCATTTCAAATGACATAATTATGAGGAAATCTGGATCATAACAGAGCATATGACATACACAGATGAAACCTGGTTATCAAATCAAGAGAAGTCAGGCTTTGTGGACTGTACACTGTTAGCAGTATTTTTCTTCAGGGAAAATAATAAATAGATCAAAATAAATGACCTGATGGCTGTTTTATACAGAGGTGATGAGAGGCAGGGAAAACAAGTGAGTCCAGGTGTTCATATGGGCAACTTCCAAGACTGCATTAAGTAAGACCATGGAAATAAGTTAAACTGCTTGTAGAAAATCTATTTGTTCAAAGTAGGATCAGGACTTCCTCAAAAAATTCATAGTTTGATCATAACCATGTCTAATGTCAAAGCTGTGATTTCACATTAAACCATCTTTGCCAATAATGTAAATGTGGGCAATCCTGAGTCTCAGACCAGCAACACAGTGTGCTGATACAGCTGTTTGGAGGTAACCACTGTTACTGCATTGCTGCAATAAGAATGGTGAAAAGCAAAAAGGCCTAAAAAGGGTAAATTTTTCACCCAGGCGGACTCATGAGCTGTTTTATCACATGGCCACAAAATCTCGTGTTAACATTATCTGCTGGATGAAAATAAACAACTCACAATGGATGGGTAATTTTAGGCCAGTTTCATTACCAAGACCAGCATAATAAAACTAGGTCCCAAGTGAGCCACCAAAGTAGATTCTCCAGGATTTTTACTAAGGACTGCAACAAAGGATTTAAAGAAATAGCAGCTTTTATAAATGTGAGATCTGTCACCGATTCCAATACCAATGCAACCCAGGCTGCTACTGACTTCATCTGAAACTGTGAGCACAGTGATAATTAATATCCTAAATCTGATCATATTTCCAGGTTGGTATCATAGCCATACACACTGTAAACTATGATTTGGATCCCATAGAAAAAGGTCAGGAGTACCCTTTCTGGGATACACAACATCAGATCATGAGATGATGGTGGATGAGTTCATGGAAAAATATTAAGGGAAGATATATTTAGGCAGTCAGAACAGTTAGCTAGGAACAAAAATTATCTGGGCACTTTGTGAACTCAAGGATCTCAAGTCAAGAATGAGGAAGACTTCTTCAGAAGCATGGACAATGCTTCAAACACAATCTATCCAAAGCAGCTGTTCTAGACTTGGTAAAAAAAATTTCTTATGTCAGAGAAAATAAAAGTGTTTCATCATCTTAGCCTAATCTTTAGTTACAGAAGAATATACTCTACCACTAAGAGGAAGCTTATCTCTGAATACACTATGAAAAGTATCTTTTTTTTTTTATACAACCTCCTCAAGACATCAACCACTCAGCTTCTAGTCACTTACACAAAATAAAGGGCACAGAACACAGTGTTACTGGTCAATGAAAAACAGCAAAACATTTTCTTCCCAAAACCTGTGTGTGAGGGAGAAGACAGGCACTATACAGTGAAAGAACACTGTAAGTCATCGTCCCTTCTCTATCAATTGATATTTCTCTCTTTACCATCTGTGAAAAAGTCCACATATTTCACAGTGTTCATGCAAAATCACTAATACAAGCCAGAGAGCTGAAAGAAAACACTTGTTTTCTGACATACTGTCAAGAGTTCCACCTTAAACTGCATTACCTTCCCCACTTTCCATGACACCATCCTAGGAAAGATACTGCTCTACACTACCAGCATCTAAAAAGCCCTTTACTCTATAGAATCTTGAAAACCTAATAAATACTCTTAAGTAACTGATGCAGTGCTTTGTCCTGGAAGTGTATCTGGGTCCAAGTAGAGTATTCCACACAAAGAAGTGGTGCTCTCACCATTAGAGACACAGGAGCTTGGCTTCATTTTGTGCCAGAGAGCAAAAGGAAGAGCGGGCAATGAAACCATTAACCAGCTCCTCTGTGAGGTGAGCATCAGTTTCCTGCTCCTTCTAACACCACCACAGAGAAAAAAGCAACTTGCATAACCTCATACCAAACATCCAGACTTCACCATCAGTTAACTAAGTTACAAGAAACAAAATGCACAACTGTAGTTCTCTCGTGGATTTGTAATCCCATAGGTTAAAGTTGTGATCTGAGGAAAAGTGTAAGAACATTAGTGAAAAGCAAGTATGGTGTTCAAACAAAATACTGCATGTTATTAAGCTCTCAGATAATGTCCTTTAAGAAAATTACTTCAAGACATAAACAAAAACGTACAATCAATCATTATATCAAATCAAACAATTACATTAAGGTTCAGTTTACAAAAGGTTAATAAACAATTAACAGCTGGCTTAATAAATAGGTGTTTACTTCTCATCTCTGTCAATCCAACATACAGTTTCTCGCTGTCTATAGTACTTTCTACTGATGTGCTTATAACCTTCCCTAAAATTTACTTGCAACACATTTCTCTAACACGAATTACAAACTTGCAGAAATCATTTATTAACCCTTCATAAAATTCTAAGTGAACCTTAATATGAAGCATGACTAACTTTATACTATTTCAGCCCCATACCCCAGGATACATCAAATACTAGTTCTTTCAAGTTTTTATTTAAAATTCTACATTTTAGCTGGGTGCCACATCACTAGTCAGAGAATCACAAATGCCTATTGTGGCTTAGCCAATGCACTGCAGACACAAGAAGTGAAACAAAAGTGGTGGAGGAAGATCACAGGGAACAGTTCAGCTTCTTCCAAAAGAAATGTCCTGACTTTTTTGTTGGAACAAACATTGATACCATGACAAAAGAATCAGAGAGCAAAAAACCGGAGTCTGTTGTAAATCAAAACATTGTTTTTCCTTCTTTTTAGAAACAACTACAATATGTCATAATATAAATAAATAAAACAGAAAACACAAAGGTAAATTCCCCATCACTAGGATTTTAAAAAGGGAACAGCCCATCTATTTCTTGGATGCAGCCTAAACTTCTCTTACCTGCAATTTTTCAACATACTTAGAAGTCCTATTTAGTGTATCAGTCTTAGGGAACATGATGTATTATATTTAGGTCTCCTTTTTTTTCCATCCAGTATTTTCAGCTTCAACCCCCCACCTTAGTTTTTTCCATCAAACTGCCTGCTGTTGATTTAATAAAGTTCAGCTCAGACTTATACTTTTCTTTCACTTTCAGAGCCTCTCTCTTCATTTTCACAGTTCTCCACAAGGTCTTCATTCTCCTGTGTCTTTTCTTCCTCCTCCTCCTCTTCCTCCTCCCCATCATCTCCAAAAGTCTCTTCCTGCATTGTAGTAAAAGTGAAAGACCTGGCAGCAACTTGTGCAGCCAGACCAGATGTGAAGTTAAAATCTGTTGATATGTGGAGCTGGGCCAGCCTATCCTTGATTTTTGAATGTAATGCATCCTTAGAGGAAGGCTGTGAAGCCTCTACTCCATCCACACTGCTTGGCTTGAGCTCTTCAGCATCCCCTTCACACTGATAATACATTCTTTCTTCAGCCCCCGTAGAAACATCTTTATCTGCAGTACTGTCTTTGTTTTTCTCCATCTCAGGATCTTCATACAAATATTCTGTCCTGCTTTTATCAGCAGCATTCACTTCTGGATTAGAGTCTTTTTCTTCAGATTTATCACAGCTTTGGCTGCAGTCCTGCTTTTCTGTATCTGAATTCACATGTGATTCCACATTATTTAGTAGCTTCAATGGTTCTACAGGAGACAAGGGTTTCACTGCAGCTTAAAAAGGGGGAAAAAATTAAATAACTAAAAGCGAGCTGCTATATATAAATAATTTATTTGCCTGAAAAGATGCAAGATTGTAAGGGTTAAAATTACTTTTAAAAAATCCCAAAACAACAGAAAGACAACCCACACCAAAACTTAAAAGAAAAGTGTTTTCTAATCACAAAGCTGGAGTGAAATGTGATGGTTACTTGTAATTATTCCTTAAAATCTGTGATGTGAAGAGACAGCACAAAATTGATTATGTTTAAGGGCAGCATCAAACACAGAGAATGTATTCAGTGTTAAAGCAAAACCCAAATAAAACTACTGTACTGCATACAGATTTAAGTGTCTTCTTCTGAACAACAGTTTACCTGATCCACTAAAGACAGCTGGTACATGAAAAAGTCCTTATAGGCAATATCTGATCTCATACCGCAACATACAAATACAACACATAGCCACACGGTCAGGTCAGGTGTCCTCACAAATAAAGTGTGGTTTAATTTAGCCTCTCTTGAAGTTAGTAGCAGCAGCGAGTCCCATTGCCAGCAACGGGATGCTTGCCAGGAAGTCTCTCCTCCCAGTGTTAAGGGTTAGTGTAACTTGGTACAATCACTCCTTGAAGAACAGACGTCTTTCATATTAAGAAAACGATATAATGTCCATTTCCAAGTAACAGATTCCCTAAACTGCAGCAGCTCCATTATAGTAGCAGCACGAACATAAATGAGAGCGGCAACAGCAGATTCCCAAGTTGCATTTCCCTTTCTAATTCCATTCTGACTTTACCCCTGTAAGCAGAGATGAAAATAACTCTGGGAAATACATAAACTTTTCATGGGAAACAAAATTTATGGTATTAGGATTTTTCAACCGCATCGTATTTCAGTAATAATTCACTTTAGCTAACTGAAGGCAGGCACATCATTATGGTTGTCACAATGATAATTATTGTCATTAGCAGACTGAAAGACTGTGGCATTGAATGTATTGTACTGTTTGCTTTAAAACCTTATATACCAAAGGAGCACTGCAATAGACCCGTCTCAGTTGTTTATGGAGTAGTTCTGTCTTCTAAAAAATTTGCTGCTACTTATTTCTGCCCATTTTCTTGAAGAGACAGGAATATGCACAGTAATCTTATAATTGGGGAGCAAAATTCTTGCCTACTTTCTCCAAAGAATACTTTGAAAGGCAAAATTTCTCAAAAAATAAATAGATGCTCGAGATAGGTAGCTGACCAATTTGTGGAGTTGATGAATTAATAAACAGGGTGAAATTCATCAGTTTTGAGAGCATGGCTTTCCAAATCTGATAAACAGCTATATAACAACTGTTGTATGGAAAAGGTGAGAGAAGGGGAAACAGCTGGATACAACACAACCACTGACAGAATTAACTTTTTTGCAGGGGAGAGGTTAGGGAAAGGCTAGAAGTGATTTTGCAGCAGAAGAAAGTTGGTTTACAGTGTCTGACAAATGGAAATGAAGCTACTAAAAACTTAGCAGACCTTTTCAAATGCACTTCCATGTAGTGGCTCAACAGGAGGCCAAAGGACTAGAAACATAAGCTTACCTATACTCCCATAAATTTCCTACTACCCAGACTGCAAGAAGTATTACCATGGTACTGGGACTTGGGAAAACTTGCTTTAGTCTAGTGCTCTGCTAAGATGATACTTTTTTCTTCTGGAATCCAACCTATCATCTCCAATTGACTTCATGTTGCGTTCTTAAGACATCTCAATTTCTTTGGAGCTGACCTCTTATGTGGAAACCCTCACCAGCCCCTCCTTAAACAAACCAAAACCCCTCATCTCCTCGTTAGGACAAGTCAGAACGGCTAGCTGAGTGCCTTGACTAACAGATTAAAGCCTTTGAATATTTCAGGATCTTTTTCCACAATAATCACAAGTTAGGAAAACACAAGATTTCTGGAATTTGATTGTCCTGTAAAAGCAAGATTCAAGAGGACTATGGAAAAGTGGTATCATGGCCATCCATTGGCTTGGGCCAATGGACACAAGAATATGAACCCTTTCTGGGTTTCAATCTTCAAGATAAGGCAAGTCAGAAATGTGGAAAGTGCAGACAACATAAATGTCTCTTTAAGGACTGCCTTGTGTATGGACAAATTAAAACATAATATGCCAGGGTCCATGATATCATATTTACTGACTTGTGGTTTTTTTGAAGCAATATTGAATGATTTCCTTAAAAACCAGCAGAAGATAATATATCTAGTGTACATATCAGTCTGTCAGATTAGACACTTATAATCTGAGCCAAAAGCAGACCATATTAATTACTTTCATGAACTGCCCTCACGTTTTCCAGGTTTGTACAGGATGGAAATAATCAATAATTAGTCCTATGCAGCTGGAAAAAAAATATCATACTTTCTTCCCTCCTCACCCCTTTATCTCTAATCCTAAATCAATGTAATATCTATACATGGAAAGAAAAGGAACCAACATGAGCCACAAAGGCTTTCTGGTGTACAGTTACTGCAAACTACAGGAGTCAGCTGACTCTTTCCAGCTATGGCCTCAGATGGCCTGAGGATGTGTTGGTATGGACAAGTATCAGCTGCTTAGGTAAGGAAACATCCTAGGCAAGTTCTCCTGACAAAAACTCTTTCTGCAAGTGTTTCATTAGGTCTGTCAACACTTGAACTGGAGGTAGGATCACTTCTTCCTCCAACAGTTAAGAAAGGAAGACTTGAAGAAATTTAAATGAGGAGTTGTGTGGTGTCGTATCTAACATCAGAGGGATAATACAGAAATCCTACTCCTGAGCAGACTGGTGCAATCTGATGTCTCAGGGGTTTTTAATGCAACTAGAAGAGAAATCAATACCAATGGTCAAGTGATCTCTTTTACCACAGTTGTACCTTAATGGATATAAAGAAGAAAGTTAAGAACAGGTATTTTTGATGGTTTGATGTCCAAAGACAGTCTCATAAATAGGCATGATCTGTTACTTTGTGTTCCTAGTAAATTACTGAAAAATTGCAATCCGTGGTCATTTCTCTGGTACACCAGATTCTGTCAGAGGCAGAATCCTTGGATATGGTGCCAGACTTGAGGGTTGTTTTTCGTAACATAGAACATGAAGCTTTTTAGGAAAAAAGCTTTTCCTAACCTGTCTTTAAGAGGAAGAAATGAAAATAAGAAACAGGAAAAGACAAATTCCTGCCAATTTAAAAAACAGTAAATCAAATAGCTCAAGCAGTGAGAGGAATCAAGTTGTAACAGACAAACTGTCTTGTTGAGGCAAGAGAAATTTTCATATTCCTGCTTTCAAAATGCAAGTGGATGGAGCTACCCAGCAGTCCTCAGAGTTAGTAAAGGCCAGTTTGAAAGAACTCTTCTTCTTAGATGGTCTGTGAACATATTCTGTATTCACTCTCATGGAAACAAAAGCCAGTTTTACTATTTTAGTTCTCTAATATTTCAAAGTCTAGCTCTTCACTTTAACCTACATACTTTTGTATGTCTGGGATAATTCCTGCTGGTTTCTTTAAATTCTGAAAAGTAGCTTATTTATGCACCCTGATAAAAATTCATCTTTACTGGAAAGCCATGAAAGAAAGTCAGTTCAATCTGCATGGTTTATATCCTGACAGTTTTCTTTATGCTGCCTTAATATTTTTGTGTGTTTAATATTTTAGCTCAGTGTTTTGTTTAAAGCCAAATTTCCACTTCTTTGAGTTAATTTCAATATATAGTAAAATGATTGCTAAAATATAAAGAGGTGGAATGACAACTAAGACCACACAGCTCTGTCAAAGATACTACTAGAGCTAAGCACTGTCTGAATTCTAACATAGTTAGAAATTCATGGCAAACAGACACCTCTGTTTTCTAAGGAAGGAATTAATTTTAAAAGAAATGCTTACCATGTTCACTGAACAGTAGCTGTTTCCACTTCTGTCTTTCAATTTCTGAAGCTTTGAATCCCAGTACAGATTTCAATTCTTGTAACACCCTCTTAGACTCCTGTCTCTCTCGCTCTTGCCTCTCTCTTTCTTCTTGGGAGAAGCAGTAAAAATCTTCCCTTTTGTATTCATTATCTGTATCTGAATAATCAACATATGCTTCCAGTTCCTAAAGAAAGAAAGAAAGGAAGAAACTCTTGATCTTCACTGTCAGGGTGGACTCAATCCTACAGTCTGATTCATGATCAAGTGATGTCAACACAAGCCAACCACAGTAATAGGATGCAGCCCTGTCTGAGCAGAGCTAGTGGACCTGACACTGCTCTTGGTGATATCTGTAGGATTTTGGAGCAAGCCTGCTCATTAACGAGATTTACCTTCATACACAAATAGGATCGAGTGATATACCTTAAAAATGGGAGACCATTTCCATAATTACATGTGGAAATAAGCAATGCTGATGTGGGTTTATTTTTTTTAAATTTACACTGTAACCAATGTTTGGTAGTCAGGCATCTTGCTAATTTAATTTACATAAATCCTTATTAAGAGGATATAGAGAATAGCAAACTTCTCTTCCAATTTTAAATATATTGGATTACAAGCATAAAAAACCAGAGCAGCATTTATGTTATACCAAATTTTCAACAAAGTAATTTGTCCCAGATTTTTGATATGGAAAAACATCTAGAGAGAATACATTTTGGGGAGAAGCAAGGGAGGGACAAAGCAGAGCATGGATGTTCACTGTGCATCTGCCACTCAGATGGAGGAGGCCCACTTCTCTTCAAGACAGCCCAACCATCACCAGGAGTTCCTCAAACAACACAAAATTGTTCAGTGTTACAATAAAAAGATTTTAAAAAATGCAGAGACTAAGCAAACTGAAAGCAGGATGGTTTGTGCTCGAGCTTGTCACTTTTGCAGCTGTGTCAGTTTATCCAGCAAAAGTAGGAATATTACATATACTGCCTTTTAGCAATTCTCACTTTTTATTATTTTTTTAAAATTTTTATTATTTATGTGTTGCTGCTCTCCTTTGGTCACTTATTTCTAATGATACATATGAGAAATGAATATTAGTGCTCTTTTTTCCAGGATGGGGAATGCCTCCCCATGGAACAGTAAAAGGGATATACACAATTTTTTTCTAGAAGTCCAATTTGGAAGTGGCACTAGCCACTTACTTGTCTGTCTCGGCAAGACAACAAGGTCACTGCACAAGCAACTGAAAAAAAGAATGGCTACAGCAAATAATCCCCAATTATTATTTTTAATTATTCTTTTTTTTTTACCTGCTCTTCAGGGATTGGGTCTTTGTTTTCTATGTATATGGCAGGCTGTGTTAAAGGTACTGTAGTATGCTGTAGGTTGTCACAGGAAACTTCTATTTTGCCTTTAGGGGAAAAAAGAAAAGGGATTTTTAAAAAATAAAATTAAATATTGGATGATGTTTCTGACTCACTCAGGCAGGGTCCAGGTATTTTCATAAGCATGGTTTGCACACATGAAAAAAATGGTGAGAAGGCTGATTAGGTTGCACTGAAACACTTAGAGACCACTTAAGTAATATGGCTGTTTTGATAGAAGCTGGGTCCGATAGAACTTGTGCTGAAACATTTCTAACAAATCTCAGAAATTTTATAGACTTTGAAAACCTGCAGATGGCAAGCAAAATCAGTAAAACCAGAGAAGAAACTTTGTTCAGAAGTTTAAAAAAATAAAATTATAGGTAAAACAGCTTCAAGTACCTGGAAAATATTGGAAGAAGTAATTAAGAAAAGTTTACAGGAAGATACTTGTGAGGTAGCAAGGAGACAAATAACAGCCAGTACGGATTTGTTGAAAATAGAAGATGTTAATTTTTCAATGCAGTAACAAGTCTTGTGTATAGAAAGAACCAAAGATATCCTGCATTTTGTTTTCAGTAGGACTTTTGACATGCTGTCATGACATTTCTTACAAGCAAAATGCAAAGGCCAGGAAAAATTGCTGTTTTCTGTGCTAAAGGTGCACAGAACAGCCTCTTGGATCATCACAGCATGGTTACCATTTTCAGACCAGAATACATTGAGTGATGATTTGTCTCAAGTCCAATACTCTCCAGTATTTTCAATGGATGAAAGAAAACTTTTGCATCTCATTAAATCTGCTATTTGGGGATAATCTCAAAGAACACTGAAGGTCACCACTAGAATAGAAAATCATACTGGAAAATCAGAGATACAACCCAGGTAGAAATGGATTTCAGACCCAGCAGTTTGGTCACAGTGGCTGCAAATTTTTGTGCTTTGGAATAGCCAAGTGTGTAAGTACCTCTCAACTGACTGGAGAGCACCACTGAGAAAGAGGTGAGGAGCCTCACCATTAACTCTACCCCACTGCAAGCAAAAAGCCAAACTACCAACTAGTACATATAAGAAACAGCACTGACTGTTAGACACATGAAATAACATTTCTACTATGGCACTGATCGGGCTGTGGATGGAACACTGTGCCCAGTCTGGGGCCCCTTCATTTAGTAACACAGTGGGCCAACTAGATGGAACATAGAGGAAAACATTGGAAATTTTAAGAGGACTAAATAAAGCATAGTCATCAGGGAAGAGCTGAAGCATAGGGAGTCATGTAGAGAAAACAGAAAGAAACATAATAATCATCTTCAAGAATGTAAGAGCCATCAAGAGGAAATGGATTTCCATTTTGGGTGGATCAGAAATACTGCTTTTAAATTGCAGCAAGAGGTACTTCTATTCAGTAATAACATTCTACTGGTAATGGAATTAAGTGCTAGAATAAATGCCTGGAAATACTGTAAAATGTCTCTAAAGACAGTTTTTTAGGAACAGGTAAACAACATTTACTTACAAGTACTAATTTATCCTTGAGAAGGGAAATGGTTGAAATGACCTTGCCAAGCCCCACCTAACCCTATTTTCCATTTCTAACCTATACACTGAACAGTTAGGGATGGTGAGATTACAGCAGAGTACCACAGCTTTGCTCTTATAAATATCAAAAAAAGTTGTATATATTTGCAAAGACAGAGACAGTTTAAAAGGAAAAAGGTTGGAATTTAAACAGTTTGAGGGCCATTGTTTCATAGATCATTAATACAATGCTGTAACTAGCCATAAAGAGTACTCCATTCTGTAATATTAGCAGTAGATTATTACATGCTTAAATTGTTGAAGTTTAAGCGGTAAGTTTAATCAGTGATGAAAAAATGTGAAAGAATAAAGAGAAGAAGCTGAAAGTTCTAGGAAATGAGCAAAGATATGCATGTAGATCAATGATTGATAGGTCCATCATTGCCCAAGGAATTTAAACAGAGGTGAATTCCCTTCAATGTGCTAAAGCCCCACTTGTTCTGAGGCTCTGCTCTGTACCTGACAGGATCAGTAAGTAAAGGCACTGATTCTAGAAAATATACCAAATCATGTAAAGGAAGAAGCCAAACTGCATTCCCTGAAGGATCCATATGCTAAAATATAAGATACATGCTGGTGTCACCACCACCAACAGGCTAACATGAGGGTGTGAGTGTACAAACTATTACCCTGAAAAGCTTTGCTTTGGCTGTTTAATGTACCTGTTAGAAACCAGCTCTGACACAGAATGATTCAGGGCAAGAAGCATGTACTGCTTGCTGAAAGGGACTCACCTCTTTATATGGATGCTCTACTGGCTGAACTAGTTAGTTGAACTAAACATCTATTGCAGCAAAAGTTCTCAGCATCCACTTAGACACAATGCTCTAAGCTCATGGGGTTCTTGAAACAGCTCTTGTCAAAAGACTGATTTAGTTTTAGGATAATAATGCATAAACATAAAAGCTGTGCTGAGCTGCTATATTAATTTAGAAGGAAGGTATCTGCTCCCAGAGAGTTTTCAGAAAGTATTGGAAAAAAAAAAAGAGACAATTTATTGAAGTAATTTACGTCATATGACTGATAGACCAGCTGTTAAAATTTGTAGGAAGACAGCAAAATAATTGGGTTTGATTTCATGTATAGCTGACGAGGTCAACTCAAAGAAGCTGGATGGCTTAGAAATATATCAAAAAAGTCAAATGTCAGATAAAAATAGATTTCAATGACCAGAACAATTTCAAGTAGCTCCTGCAGAGTAGTTCAGTAAACTTAGTGCAAAATAGAGGTTCAATCCCAGCACATTTCCAGGAAAGCCAGTGGGCAAAAGTGAAGGATTATTTTATTTTTTATTTCCCACGCAATCCCTTCCTTCTAGATCACACACGAGGTTATTTTTGTACTGAACTTTAAAAGGAAGCAAGTTATAATAAAAAGGCCTGCTGTGAAATTCATACACAAAGTAAAAATAAAACTAAAATAACTAAAAATACTATGGTGTGTAGTCTAGAAAGAACTTCTAAGGAAAGGGGAAAAAAGATCAGTGGAACTGCAGGTTGTGGAGGGCATCAACAAAACATAACAGGTCAGCACATGCAAATGTATCAGACTACAGCTAACATCCTCACAGACTGTTTTATGCAGCACTGAAGGGGAAGCTGTAAGATTGCACTATCAGGCAAAGTACAGGAGTTTGTTTATACCATGTCTGGACCTGCACAGAGCCTGCAAGAAGCTTCCCAGCACTCCCAGTTCTGATAATAAGCATGAACAAGGTCGCCCTGCCTGTCTCTAGGCCCACAGCAATTTATCCATCTACTGAATATTCCACCCATCCATCATTAAGAGCATAGTGCACTTCAGATTTGGATTTCTGTAGGTAACTTGCCAATACCCCAAGTTCCCCCCTCCAATTTTCCTAGTGCAGTCTCCATTACCAGCATTTTTCAGATGCTGGGCTGTGCCTTCCTAGGACAGTAAAAATACTCCTGGAAAAAAGAAAGATTACAAATTACAGGTTCAATTCCATGTCAGGAGAGCCTAAGTTCACTTCAGTTATTTAAGCTGGTTATGCTTCACAAGAACAGCATGGGCAATACAGATCCCTAAAGAGAGGGACAACAAAGAAAATGCTGGGATATGCTGCTCACTAAGACTTTTAAGAACACCAAAGATTAGCTCTTTCTCTTTGAAAGAGTAGGTAAATGGGTATTATATGCTCAACATGTCCTCCGTGATTTAAAATGTTACAGGAAATGTGATTGTCAAAAAATTTTCATGACAATGCCATTATCATTTCAGTTAATGGCATAATTTTAATGCAGTAAATAAGTGAAGATCTTGAGGGCGATTCATTAAAATCCTACCCCTGCACAGGTGATTCACCAATCTAAGGCAAAAAGCCATGATCAGTCTACACCTGAAAATGTAACCATTTGAATCCACAGGTCTAACAGACTGAGTTAACATGTTTGCATTTTTTTCTGAAGCAAAAGCTTCAAGGCCATCACAGTGAAAAAGTCTGATACAAGGACACAGTTTTTCAAAGTGAATGGTTGTAAGACCTTCTTCAGCTAAAATTTTGATACACGAGCTGAACACTGTCATTGATCCATTTGATTATATCATCTCTGAAGTATATCCCATTAGCTGCTAAATCAATCTCTCACATTTACCTTTTTTATTTGGGTTTCTTCCACTCATCTTTTCCACCTGAGAAATGGCTTCTTCCCAGCAGCTGTTGCTTGCTTGGATATGAGGCTGAATAAACTTTAGTTTTTGTTCCAGAGCCTGATGGGCTTCTGTTGTCAACTCGGGTGTCTCCTTAGTGCTAACAAGCTTTTCAAGTTCATCCTCAAGAATTATCACCCTAAGTGATGAGGAGACAAACAGCAGCAATAATAAATATTTGACTTCACCATTCTTTCAAGAATTTAATGTAATATATTGTTATTTTCTTCAAGTTTTAAGAACCTAACTCAGTCAATTCCTCAAAGATACCCCAAGATTTTAAAGTTATAGTATTTTTTTCCACATCAAGATAAATTGCTTACCTGCATTTGTTATAGTAATTCTTATATGTAAGATTAAAGGAGTAGGACAGTCTCACGTGTTTCACCAAGGCAGTGACAAATCTTTAAGGATATTTACTAGGTACTTACTATGAGCTGAATGTTCTTATAAAGCATTTGATATGTTGAAAAATCAATGGAAGATAATTATGTTTTCTTTTTTTTTTTTTTTACGGGAGTGACAAAAGAAAGACAAAATCTCAGTGCACTGCTTATCTTCAAGTTTTCATCAGATACTCAAAGAATACCCAGGAAAAATATCAGATTCCATAGTAAACCACGGATCTTTGAGCCCATAGTGTGTAAAGATATGGCTATGATTGCAAAGACTGTATATCTGCCATTTTTCCTTTTGGCTGGGGATACAAGCTGACAACCCAAAGAACTTCAAGTCCAAAGCCTTCTACATTCCCTTAATTCACACTTAAACTTACTCATTGAGCAGTGCCTTGAGATGAAGCTGCAAGCTGCGTACCGCTGTCTGGAGACTGTTCAGCTCTCTGGACTCCTGCTTGGTCCTGGCTGGCCACTGCCAGCCCGACTGATGCTGAGTCTCGAAGTAGCGATAGAACTCGTAGCTCCTCTTGAGCTCCTCCAGGCAGGCCGCGTGTGTGTGAGGTAGGCCCTGCGTGACATCGCACAGGATGTGGTGGGGCAGCCGCTCCGGGGACACCAAGGGCTTGGGGGACGCGTTGGCCGGGGACAGCAGCAGCGCCAGCCTCCGGAAAAACTCTGAACTCTGCCCTACCCACAGCTGAAAGAGGACCTGCAAGACAGGGCAGGCTTAGCTCTGTGCACCTGGGAAGGCAGTCAGCTTCCAAAGTAAATGTACAGATACACCACGGGAAACATTCCTTGGCCAGCAACAGGAACTTTGAAAAAACTGCAAAAATCCGCTGACTGTTTTTGAAGGGTATTCCAGAGCACATGAGGTTCAGACCTTGTGAACCTTAGGTGACTGTTAATTCCTTGATGAAGGATATTAAATGCAATTATGCTCAGAAAGCTGTCAGAGTCCAAAACCTCATATTCCCATTGGCCAGTTTCATTATCTGCTATAATCTCTACATACCCTACAGCTCATAAAGGGCTGCCAAAATTCCAGTGGCAGCAAAGACATTTTTCCCTTTATGAGGCCAAGCTGTCATTTCTACAATCTAATAACTACTGCATTACCCCACACCCAACCTTGAAACATAAGCCTAATTGCACTGTACTTCTACAAAAAAATATTTTACATCTGAAGAAAGTTGAGCTGTTAACTTACTTCGTTTTTCAGCCAAAGTAAGAAATTCCACCAATACCACTAAGCAAGGAAAGGCTTTTAAGAAATTGATTCACAATGTTATATCTTGTACTAAAGAGGCCAGTCTATCTGGGAGCAAGGCAGCCCAAAATTTCAACTTCTTGAGAACATCCACTTCCAATGAAATGAAAATAACTGTTTCTTTAGTCTAGAGAAGTTTGCTCAGTAGACCATGACAGTACAGCAAGCACCTTTTATGTCTAAAATGAAAAGGAAAGGTTATGATACTTTTCTCTTCAATAAGAGGGATCCCTTATTAAAAGGGATTAGCTGTAGGTGATTATGAGGTGCAGACTGAAACTTCTTTGCAAGCATTCCAGACCAAGGAAGACAAAACATTTATTCATCATGTCAAAAATACTCGGATGCAAACTGATAAAGTATCCCAAAAGAAAATAGAAATCCCAATTTACAAAAGATGCTCATGAGAAAAAAGAATACGTGAATGACATGAAATTAATTTGGAGAACACATGCAAGACTGATTTGGCTGGAGGCAAAAATACAAAGCAAAAAAATGGGCAGCAATCACTCAAGTGTTCTTGAACATGTGGTGCCCTGGAAAAAAATATCAAAAGCTCATGCTGCAACAAGCACAAAAGAAGACCAATCCCTTCCACCAGACATAAATCACAGGCAGCAAAAAGTAGCACACAGGAATAGTGGACTTCAGGAACTGATAATAATAATCAAAAACCTACCTGAAAAAAGGCACAACAACAAGAGAAAAGGAAATTCCAGATGTATTTATAGTTGCAAGCAGCTTACTCTGCCAATAAGTACTGATGATCTTTGCTGACACACAAAATACCCAACTGGCTCTCCTCAGCTTAAACAAGTATTTTTTTTTCTTAAGTGAAAAATTTTCACTCTTTAAATTGCTTTACTTCAAGGAAAAGGCAGCCAAAAGACACATGCTACATATGTCATGTGGCTTAGCATGACCTGCACTTTAATATAAAGACAAATTCTCTCAAAGTGAAAAAATCTGAAGAGGACTGCACGTACATCCAAAGCTCACCACACAAATATGTTCCAAGGTTATCAAAGCACGTTATACCTACACAGGAATCTGCTTAGGACTGATTTATATTAATTTAGCTTGGTTCAGCTATACCACACCAAGCCTACATTGTTGGCTGTTATGACTTACCATAAATTGAGATTTACTAGTTGCTGTGAACTTAACTGTATCCAGAAAGCATCCTAACCAGTTTAACTAAAACAGAGTTCAGTTAAATTACTGCAAATTGCAGGTAAACAAAGGCTTAGCTTACAAGCTAAGGCACCTCTGACTGCCTTCTTGTGCTTAAAAAGAAGTGGGTAAATTAGCAGGCTTACATGGTTGCAATTAGAACTTCAGCTAATGAAATGCAAGAAAAAAATCCCAAAAGCTGCTATTTATTGTAGCTCTTAGTTTACAACTAATTAGACAATGTCTCAAAGCTTAGTAATCACTATTACTGGTTACATTTACTATCAGAACAAAAGAAGTCAAGGTCTATAAATTAAGAGAAAAAAATGCAACGAAAGCCAACCCCATAGAAACACAGAATCATATAATAATGGAATTTTCCATTAAAAATACAATGCTAAAGTGGAACTGCCCTGGCAGAAAACTATTAGAGTATAGAAGGCTTGCATTCAAATCAGATGTTACTTCCAATTGACTCATGCAAATAAAAAATACTTAACATTTCAAAACAAAATAGATAAAAAGACCATTATATGGTTGTCACTCTGTTCAGTTAAAAGTTTTTCAAAGATCAAACAACCACACTGGCTCACAGCAGCGAGGGTCCAATCTTATGATTTGTACTCCTCAGTGTGACTAAATGCAGCTACTCCCTTTGGCATTTACAACCAATTTTTGATTTCCGATGTCTCTCTTTTTATTCATGTCAAGAGATTAGATAAAATAACAATTAATCTGGAATTTATCCGAAAAAATCTGGAAATTATTTTATTCAGCTGGGATCAGGTGAAATCAGAGAGCAAAAAATCATGTTTAAGGGGATTGATGAAGCTGATTATAGAGCACTGACTTGAACTTCCATGATTTGCAGAAAAATATCCTAATATTGTATTGAGTAATTTCTCTTTCTCTACATGCACAAAGAAATCATGAGAATACTGATAAATGTAGAAACACATGCTAAGAGCCTGACTGCTTACACCTTACCCTCAACTCCTGTGTTGCTACAGGCTAGGATGTACAAGCCACAGGACTTCATGACAAAAGAAAGATCTTCATCAGAAGCCTGTATGATGCATTAAGCCCTTCTATAGGAGAGCTTACCTTAAGTGCAGGCAAGCTGAAGCCATCAGTCAGATTGTGTGCTTCCTCTTCAGAGACCTGCTCTTCACTCAGCCCCAGACCCAGCTCCTTAAAGGGGACCACACAGATGTAGCTGGTCACGTTGTCACTCTCCGAGTTCAGAGGGTAAGTTTAGTTGGAGTTAAGGTAGTAAACAAAGCCACTTTTGCATTAAACACACAGGAAAGTAAAGAAATATTTAGTAAGGTTTCTTTTTTATGAAAGCACATACTTTCATCCCAAATCCACCTGAATCCTGTTTAACTGAAAATTTTGCAATCCTTATTTGAAGCACAAGTTTTAAAGGCTCTTAGAAAGATGACAGATAAGACACTGACATAATACCTATGTCAAAATACAAACAGAAATAGATTGATGAAAAATCCCTGCATTCCTTTTGAATAAGTGAAACAGCTTACTTTTAAATACTGAGTTTCCAAGAGATAGTTCATGTCAATCTTAAACCAGATATTAACAGAGGAAAGAGAACAATTGTGCAATTTTAAATTTTAAAGGTAGCCTGTGTTATAGACTAAACTCAGGGTGTGAATTCACTGAGAGGTCTGTCTGTGAATGGACTGCTCAGAGGTCTTTACAGTAAAAGGTCTTTGACGTTTCAGAGAACTCTGAAGAACAGGATCTCCCTGTCATACCATTAACTTTACTGATTACATCACTGTAAAGACATTATGATCTTGGCAGGATGAATGGCAAACTGGTATCTATCAACACCATTCAGCACATTTAAAATCTCAGTAGGAAAACGTACATTTCCAGTCCTCAAAATGCTTAGAAAGTAGGAAGCAAGCCCATTATAACTGATACCAGGAGGCAGATAAAATAATTCATAGACTAGTCAGCATTTCTTTTAACATAGCACTAATTTTAGGCTAACCTCAGGCTGGGGAGGAACATTTCAAGATTTTTGCATGTTTTCTGATAGTTACTTAGTCACAAAATAGTAAAATTAATTTTAAAACAGAAACATAAACTTATGGCCCTAGGTACAAAATCACATTTGTTCCACAGAAATATATATATTTTTGTAAAGCATTAATGAAAACATGGTCTTAATTTAAAATACGGTTTTTTTCATTTATAGTTTGATTTAGAAACTGAATGCTCTCATCTCTTGCACATAAAGCCGATTAGAAGCACTTATCTCTTGCTCAACTAGTGTGTTTTCTGGGGGAAGCTACAAGTTCCAGCTGCTTTCACACCTAAATTTTCCATGTGCTAAATTCTCACAGGATTGAACTTGCAAAAGTGATTTGCTCAAGAGACATTTACCAGTTAAGCAGAACATTGCATGAAAAAGTAATATTCTGTGCCCCAGGAAACAGTAAAGCAAAGTGCCCAGGATCTAAAAAAACACATTTCTCCCTCCTTTATTCCTAATGTCTGGAAAGGAAGAAGCCTATTAAGTGTTCAGACAAAACCCTGCAATGTAAATTAATCAGGATCGGAATATTACTTTTGTCACCAGCAGCTGCCTCACATAAATAGTGTCTGCTCTAAATTAACCTGACAGCATGCCCAGCAGAGGGAGCACATAGGATGAGGATGGTAACTCCATCAGAAATTGAAAATTCAGGTCAAAACCCTTCAGGACCATTTATCTTAGAAACTACTTGTACTCCTTGTCAGACTTTTCCTGCAACATGACATTTCCAACCATATGAACACCACAAAAAGCAGTTTGGACACGTGGATTCCTAAGTCATGCTAAAAATAAATTCTAGCCAACATCTCAAATGCGAGGTTTGACCAAGGAGCCACTTACCCATACTGTGTCTCAGCCAGGGATTCCCAGTAGCCACCTGTACCTCCTGCCTTGCTTCCTCTATTGCAGCCCTTCCAATCCCATTTCTTATCTGACAGATGAAAGCAGAGAACTGCTCCCATGCCCCCATTAGCATCCTAAGGACCAAACATTTAGAAAGTTTAAACATATACATACCATTATATACAGGAACACACTTCCTTCGTGCACTTTGATCTAGTAGTGTTTTTAGCCCTAATGCCTTCTGTCAAAGCCAAAATACTAAAGCCTAACTCTCTTAGATTCGTTAAATTTTCCTGTCTCTATGAAAATATTTCATTCATCTGTTTAACTTACATGCCTTATTAGCTTGAAAGAAGAGAAGGTAATGCTACTTAATAATGAACTGTCAAATCCAGAATAAAATGCCTGTACAGTGAATGCCTAACCTCTATCAGGTTAGACACTCTTATTTACCCGTAGAAAAACAAGAATGCTAATGTATTCCTGTATGTAACAATTTAACATTCATACTTTAGTCTTCAAAAGCACATTCCCATCTAAAGACCTATCAGGAGAGCCTCACTGGAAAACCCTAGCTGCTCTTCTACAAAATTCTTGCCTGCTCAACAGGGGTGAGCTAAGTATGTGATGAACTGGCTGGTCAAGGAAGAAACATTGCACTGAAAAACACCCAAGTGTCTCTATTCAGACCTTCCAGCATGGCAATTTAGAATTTTATAATCTCAAGAGAGTACTACTTTTTTACTAGCTTACTTGTTTTCTTGTATGAACTTTCCCTCTCCCTAGTTAAAGGTATGTGTTTTTCTAACAGCTCATGATGCAATAACGAAACCTTTACAGAGAAGAAGGAACAAGTTTTTACTAGATTTACTACAGGAAATTTGCAAATTTCCCTGTGCTCAGTGCATCTCAAAGACATAGAATGCATTTTATATGCATTCCATTCTAATAGGGTAAGATATCACTCAGTTTAAAATACTGTTATCCAATGTCTGGTTTTATCACTAATAAAAAAATAACACTATTTATGCCTTGACAGCAAAGAACATCACCTCACAATAAAATCCAAGCTTTTTAAGTTTATGTGGTCTAATGCCCAGGTCTTACCTATCAAAATAGTTCAAGGGAAATAGAGCATCACACCATTCTGCATCAGCTGAGGATGACATTATTAACATCAGCCAGTAATACAAGCTACAAGATTTCCTCCATCCAGCTTGTATATAATTACATCAGATTCCCACGATGCAGAACCCACAAGGCTCTTAAGAACAAAAGTATTAAGCAGCTAGCGTGCCGAGGGAAGCACTGCCTGAGTTACCACACAATTCAATGGAGGACAGTGCAGAGAGCTTTTGAACTGGTCTGCACGACATCCTGTAAATACTTCACTCAAAGTGCCTCATTTCTAGTTTAGGCTTTCGTCCGTTGCATCCTGCTATAACCTGAGATTCTGAATTAAAAGTGAAATACTCTTTTCTATGGCATTTTTTTCTTTGATTTTGAGCAATGCACTCTTGCTGACATGAACATATCAGAGCAGGAATGGTGTAAGAAAATGCTGAGCTATTTCTGCTAGTACCCAACTATCCCTTCACACAAAATATAAGCAATATGACTTTCCATCTCATTAAATTACTGGTCTACCAAGTTTGACACAACTGCCTGGTACAAGGCTAAAAGCTGACTGCATATTTTCTCTTCTATATGGGAACAAATTTTAATTAGGGCAAAAGTATTTAACTACTCAGTGAAGGACAGCTATGTAACTAAAAGAGGGTACACTAGCCACATGTGGGACTTCTATACTGCTGAACTTCTACTGAATAGAAGTGAGAATGATAACATATCAAATTTATGCAATTTGTATCACCATGAATAAAGCTCTGACCTAGAATTTTTAATTCTCTGTCACAGGTTCATCAGACTGATCTTCTAACATATTTGAGACATACATTAACATAAAAGCTTGATTTTGATAGGAGAGTTAATTTTGATAGGAGAAAACCAACTTACCTTTGAACACAGGGATGTTGACTGGAAGGCCATATTGTTCAGAGAAAAGGATATTTTGGTGCAAGGGTATTTTGGGCTAAGAGGAATTATAAAACAAAATACTGAAGGGCTCCGAAACACATCATCAGCACTTACATCAAAAGCATGGGTGTCAATAATGATACAATATTTTCAGTGCACTGAATCTTATCTCTCACTGCATAGTACACAAAAAGGCAAATTTTAAGCATGTTTGAAACCAAACACAAGCCCCAATTTACTAAGCTACCTTTTCTTTCCCTTGTTTAGATACGTAATTAGATATTGCATGTTTCTAGACATCTTGACTCTAAACATTGGCACAGCTGCAGGCAGGCAGTTGGACTACCTGAACGGGTGTGTTTTTACAGAAAGGATATTTTTTCAGCATGTACAGAGTAGCCAGTCTTGCAGCTCGGAAGTTGGCTCTGACGGATCGATACACGGCTTTGCGGAGGCCGAGCAGGTGCTGACTAGGATGCTGTCCAGCTTTATTAAATGGGCAAGCGGCACTGACCCTGTCAAGCAAACTTGAAAAGTAAAATGTGATACAACTGTACAGATGTCCTAAAGTATTTTTAAAGAATAGTACATCAGTTCTCCTATTTCATTATTTAGAAAGCTTTTTCAAATTACTCAGAAACTATGAGACTAAAAAAACCCCTGATCATATCCATGATATATTTAATCAAAATTTCAGACAGCAGGCAGGATTCCTCCGTAAATAGCCTAAATCTATTCTCATCTGAGCTGTGGCAAAACTCCTGAGTACATTTATTTTCTCTAAAATTTTCCAAGATGGTATAGTAATGGTAGACATAACACTATTTCAATCAGGATACAAAACTATTACAAGCTCACTGTCAGCTTTGGAAATTTTAATAAACATGTATTTAACATATACCTTTTTATATCAAAATTTATTTTTTCAATAGTTTTTGCAGGAAAAAAGGTGCCAATACATAGGTTTCATGCAAAACACTATATTCTTTTAACCTTCCTGATACAGAAAGTTATCTAGGTGAAGAGAAATATTATTTGAGACATGACATACATTTTATCATCATGCAATGAACGACAGCTGTGTTTGTGAGAGTCTTGACAGGTAAACACATGAAATGTATACACCACACAAGCATACTGGAAAATACATATGGGTCCAGCTATGGTGAATATACCATTTAAAAGAAACAATGCCATTTGCCTATTAGAACATAACTCAGATTGGCTTTAACACTGTAAGAAATCGCCTCAACTGGAAATAAAATGAATTGTGACCTGGGTGAACACTGAACAGTTCTGTGGAACTTTAGCTCCAGCTGTATCTGTTCATATACAATCTGATATCAAACCTGTGATAGACTCTGGAAACAGCCTAGGTGCACTCTACTTGCTGGGATTATTTTTACTAGAATCAACTCAGGAATGAACATAGTCTGGACAAGAGGACAATCAATTGTGATTAATTGTTTGGGGACTGGAAGTTTGCTTCTGCTCTTATCTTTCCCAGGACACAGTGAAGAGGTGATTTCATGTGCAGCCACTTAAAAGGGAAAAGCATTCAGGGTGCCTGGTATGCCTGAGGTGGGTTGCTGCATTGGTAACTATTTCTGTAGTCCATCTGACTAAAAAGCTGACCAAGTCAGCAGACTGACACTGCTGGGAAAATGTCAGCAGAGTCAGTCTGTCCTACTCCATGTGCTTAGCTGGACTGTGCTGCACATTGACTGGGAGGGGAAATAGCTTGTGGCCTTCACTATCAAATATGAAAACCAGAGCAGCCCACCCAGTGAGCAAAGCTAGAACCATATATCAGTATGTTTAACACCATTAACCCAGGCAGATTCATGCCAAATATTGCCATATATTGAATATGCTAGCTGAAATACAGTATAAAATATCTGCATACCATTTTAAATTATGTGTTATTAAAATGGTTTATATAACATCTCATAAACTACTTCAAAATCTGAAAAAAATAAAACCAAACTGTGTTCATTTCCATTTCTAAATGTAAATATAAAATGCTAGCCTTGCTGTATCTTTCTCTAGAGAATACAACATGTAATGCAGTACATGACAACCTCTAACCTTTCACTAGCTTTTGAAAGTAGCAACTGGAAGTGTTTATGTATAAACTCTCACATCAGTTTGTAGACCCAAGCCCATGTGAATTGTCAGATGCAAAGCTCAAAGAAAAAGCTCAAAGAAAAGGAGCAAAAATCTTCTACCATAAAAAAGAGACAGAGTTCTATGTTCTACTACAGCAATGAAGACTTTTCCAATTCCTAGAGAGAACAAATATAGCGTAACTCATGCACAGCATGTACTGCCAGTATTCAGCAAAACAATCTGCTTTCCTTCTGGAATGGATTTTTCAGTGCTTTTTATACAAAAATTCTTCCTTATTCAATTAATTTAAATTAGTAGAATCTATTTTATGTCTTTCTGTCAGGCATGTCATATCCCTAAAACTCCTAGTGTTTCATTTATCTTTACAGAATCACAGAATGGTTTGGGTTGGAAGGGAACATGAAGATGCTCTAATTCCAAACCACCTGCCATGGGCAGGGACACCTTCCACCAGGCTTCTCAAAGCCCCATCCAGCCTGGCCCTGAACACTTCCAGGGATGGGTAAGTCTCTGAAAAATCTGTTCCTGTGTTCCTATCTAAGTGAGGTCTCAGCCATCTCTGCATCACAGAGCTGGTACCATGCAAACACAGCTGAAATTCCAACAGAGCGTTAAACACGTCCAAAGCCATGCTGGAATCAGAATATCAAGTTGTCTTTGAGAGCAGCTAATGTAAGAGAAGCCTGACAGGATTACAGAGTCACAGAATAGTTAAGACTGGAAGGGACTGCTGGAGGCCATCTAATCCAAGCTCCCTGCTCAAGTTCTTAGTTCCTGATCTCTGTGGCTGCAGTCAGTTTTACTGGGTGGAAGAGGAATGAAGGCAAAAGGATGTTTGACTATCTGAGTATAACAGTCACTACCACACAGTAGTATACCATTTAACATATAGAGAACTGACCAAAACCTCATCAGTAATAATCTACCATTTACAGAGACAGTCCAGTGTCAGTTAATAAGGGACAAATAGAGTAGAATAAAGCGAAGCCACAGATATTTCAAAGGATGTGTAAATTAGCCTGTGAGAACAGCAACGGATGGTGTCATGGGGAGGAAAAGCAGCAGTGAAGCACAAGGAACTTCAGGCCGAAGCAGCAGAGCTGGACTTGCCCTGTCAGAGTTTAGCTAAGTACAACCAGTCAAAGTGTAGTTGGTACTACTTAAATTACAGCTTCAGTACCTTTCCACTCACAGTATTGTCAATGCACAGGCCAAACTATGCTGAGTTAGCAGTACCTTAAAACAGCTGCACATGTAACCTGACCAGGATGCCGTACCTGATTGAAATCTCATTCCTTCAAGGATGTAAAATAACACAAGAGGATACTCAGTAACTTTCCAAATGCAACCATTTCTATTGCCATGAGATTCTTTCTAAATAAGCACTCGTATTTTGATAACCTTAATACAGGAAAATATACTAAACTTTGTTCTGCTGAGGTTACTGTAGAAAATCCTAGGAAAAAAAGGGAAAAGTAGCATCTTGGATCATACTCAAAGAGGTATCCAAAGCAAAGAATTTCACATTGCCCTGTGCAAGCAGCATCTCTTGCATATGTGAATGCAGAAAAGGGACACTCTGGACTTAGAACTTCCTCTAGGCTAAACCACCCCAAAATTCATACAGCACTGACTTCTTTATACTGTATAGTTGTTCCAGTGAGGATGCTGGCACAGTCAGACTTCTCCCACTCCATCCATATACCAAAGTCTTTTGAAAAGCTTGCCAAAGTTTCAAGTAAAGAAGCTATTGAATCAAGCATCAGCTTAAAGACCAGTCTGTTTTTTGTTAATCTGTTATCTAAGATATGTAGTAAAAGAACAAGGCAGCAGCAATTTAGACATTGACCACAAGTTCGTTTGCTTAAACTTAGGCAAAAATCCAAATGTTTTTCTCATCTGTAATTTGGACAAGCCTGAACAATAATTTCTTTTAAGAACCCGTTTGCAAAGATAAGACTGCCTGTTGCTCAAGTATATGCTTCTTCAGCAAAAATCCAGACCAAAACAAAAAACACATAGCTAGGCAGAATGAAGACATGCTTATGCATTCCAAAGGGAGAATGAAACATTTCTTCAGTGAAATACACTGAAGGTATCTCAAGCTAAAAAATTAATCTAGAATTTTAAGTCTTAAGTTGCACACTTGCATGTAAGAACATGTATCTGAATGTAGAATAGTTGATCTGGCGTGGATAAACATCTTGTTGCCCACAAGGGAACTTTTTCTTTTTTTTATAAAGTTGAGTGTATTTTAGGTGTTGGTGTTTCCCACCTCCTTTAGCCTTTAGTAGAATTGGCACACATATGGATTCATCATAGGTGGTTACAATGCAAAAGCATCCACAGCAATGAGAGTGCACAGACACAAGCCTGTTTGCTTTGGAATCACTGCATAAATTGAACACTTTCTGATGTCCTTTCACACAGCTAAATCAGCAAAACTTACCAAATAACTACAAGAGCTAAATAATCAGAAACACTTTTGCATCCCTTAAGTGGAAGAGAGGCAAATTCAACAGTAACTAATTTAAGAATCGAAATGTTTCAACAATTGCATTTAAGAGAAAAAGACTAATTTTAACTTTACTTGAGGTGGGAAATAATGTTTGATGGTTTTTGCTGATTACTGTGTTCTCACTACTTCAGACATATTTGTTAAATAAAAACAGAATGGTTTTCATGTATCCTGTTTTCTAAAATATAAGCTATTACCTGCAGATCAGTTTATTTACATCAATTTGGTAATGTAAGATAAAAAAACTCTAAATGACTGCCCAAAATAGTTAACTTAGTTCAAAGTCCATTTGTTCATATATTTTATTGCTAGCAACACAGGACATTTTGAAGGCATATGAGTTTTGTGAGACTTAATTCACCTTCAGGATGCAGGATTTTAACACTGAGTTGTTGGAATTCATACTTTTAGTATGAATGGTAATGATACTATTTTATGTAACTTAAAACCTTTAAGCTTTATCTTTTTCACTAATTCCACTTGTTATGGGAGACAGTGTAACAAGACAATTTTAGACTGGATCTGTGTATTAAATAAAGTGAAATACAGACTCACAGGGTAAATCCTCTGGAAATCACTTCAGTCTCTTGAATGAGTCGTAGAGCTTTCCTCACGAGATTAGTGAAGGCTCGGCTATTGGCCACTGTTTCTTCCAGCTGGATACAGTATTTTCGCAGGGACATTTGCAGCTTGGCTGTCCTCCACGTGCCCCACGCTCTACAGACTGCATAGAGGAGCAGCCCCGGTCCGCACAGCAGCCATGATGATTCCTTCCACCACGAAGGAAACATAAGCAGTGCACTTACACAGGCTAGGAACAACGAGACATCCCTGCAAACAGAGACAGCACCACCAACCACACATTACTGAGGGCAAACAAGTGGGAAAATTACCAAGTTACAACCTCTTATTGTGGGGTTTTTATGTAGGTCCTGAAGGGAACTGTAAACAGTGAAAACTACTTGTGACAGGTTTAGATGAATACATACATTTTATTACTTGGCTGGTATACTCTAAGGAAACCTTTCTTCAGTTTTTTTACAGCATGAGTAGGAGAGTAATGAACCACTTTGAAAGGTCAGTTTCTCTTATATATATAACTCAAAAAAACAGAAAAGAAAATTCAAAAAAAGAAAAAACCTGACTAGTCAGCATTATAAGCCAGGGCGTGTAGGAACTGTAATATCTGTACTTCCAGGTTCAAGAGTACAGTAGGGAAGGGCATGTTTCTTTTGGTAGCAAATCCCTCAATTAGTGCCAGCTGTATTTTTTCTAGAGTCTGACTCATTTAACTTGGACACCAATGCACCACTGGTTTCTAACACAATTTTATAAAGATGGCTTGAATAATCTTTTAAAAGAATTTGGCACCTTGTGAAAATTCTTAAAGAATAGAGTTCCTAGTGTCTCAGTTATTTCTCAAAGACATTTAAAAAGCTTATAAAATTGTTACTTTCCTCTATAAAATTCAACATAAATAAGTAACTTCTAGAAAATACACTGTTTTTCATATATATTATTACATGGCTTTGTAAAATAATCACAATCTTCAGAGAGATGGATGGGATACCAGCTTCAAGATGCATTACAACTATACTTTTCCAGAACGTTTCCAATGAAAAACATGTTTTTCTTCATCCCTTAAAGCTGTGTATCCTGCATTTAGGTTTGGAAGTATTCACACGGAATATTTTTCCATTTCTAAAATAAGGCACAATCTTTGGGTTTCTATTTCTTGCACAGTTTTGTGGTCAAATTTCAACCAGCTTTACAAGTGTTAACTTTTTAGGGCTACTGGCTACTGAGAGGTTTCAGTAAAGGTCCAGGGTTAAAATATTCCAAATATGTAACTACCTCTGAAAGGGATAGACACACAGTCTCTAACTTCCTTGGTACATTAAAAAATAAAGTCCCACAAATAAAATAAATCACAACAATGAAATATTAGAAGGGAATTAACAGCTCTCTTCATTCATTTTCAGCTTCTGGTTGGTTAACCCAGATCACCATGGACAGACCAAAGATGAAAATGGAAACTCCACAACCCATTCTGTGGCTATTCCAACTCCTAAGTATCCTTAGAGTTGAAAAGATTTCCTCTAAGTCCCAGTTTGAATCACTAGCAGATTAATTGCACTATTCTTCCTCATATCCTTCCCTTTTCTGAACAGAATGAATGATGACTGATCACTACCTTGTACATATCATAACACTATTCCATCCCACAGATATGCAGATCCTTTCCTGGAGTAGTACTGCATACCCAATTATTCATCACTTGGTGTTTATTAACTTGACTTTTCCTTCCCAAGTATAGTATTAAACTATTGCCTTTATTGAATTTTCTATAGTTTTCAAGGTTTTTCTCCAAGATACTGTTGACCTCTGGTCTAGGAAAACACAAACTTGGTGTCATCTGGAAGGTGAACAACATTCACAAATTTCATATGGGTACTTTATCAATTGAAAGTTAAAGAAACTGAATAATGCTAGGAGCAGAAAAATCTGGTTCAAGGGTTCTCTTGTTTGACAGAGAGCATCAATAAGGACATAACTTAAACAGCTGAGGTGTGACTCTATAATAATTTATCTACTTTTTTAGTGTATATATGAGAAAACAGCACTGGCCCATATTATGTGATATTTTTTCCTACTGATTACTGCATTTCCAAGCAAGACACTGTCAGAACAACCACTGGCATTGTTATTTTTTAAATACAGGTGGTAGCTGTTCAGATACTTCTGCAGTCAGCTCCTTCAGTATTCTTGAGTAAATTCCACAAGACTCTGCTGACTACAATGTATCTTATTGAAATATTCTGTAGTTTATTCTTCTGATAGTCTATGTTTGAAAATTAATTGCACATCCCATCTCATCTTCCCCTACCCAGAACATATTTTTTAAAGACCACACCAAAATAAACACTTTTCAATTCAGTCTTCACAGTCATGTCTCATTATCAAAATCACCTCTATATCGCTTCAGAAATTAATGAATTAATGAACTGTGTTAGCTCTTCCTTATAGAATATTTAGTTAGAGTATTCATTCATGTTCATGTAGTTACCTCAGATTAAAATTCACTCTTTCAATACAATGCCCAATGGAAAAAAAATGATTATACAAAAATCTGGGCACCAGTAGAATAAAGACCCAAGGACATGAGAAAAAATATAGTTACTTTAATGTTGCATTTTATATCAAGAATGCACAACACATTTTTTGCTTGTCTCTCAGTGACTATAATGATAGATATCCTCAATACAATACCAAATATTAGGAGTTGCTAGGGAGCGTAGCGTTGGAAGCTGTCTGTTTTCCTGTTGCTTACACTGCCCTGCAGACAGGATACTGGGGTCAAGGAATTCAATCAGTTCCACATCCTCCTGCAGCAGAACTTCCTGTTGCAGGATGGTACGGAGCGTGTCAAATCGAAATCCAATATCCTTACCACATATAAATGGGCAGGAGAAAAAATAGGCATTAGTAAAGAATATGCAAATTCTTTAAGTTAGCAGAACAAGGAAAAACACCCACATTTCACTTTACTGACAACAATCTGTTCCCAGAGCACAAGAATGTTTCAGATATATCACAAGTAGCTACTTTTTATTAAACTTGTTTAACTTTAAAAGTTCACACACTACCTAACAGTTGGGGCTTGCAGAATGCATCACCCTGACTTTGTGATCTGACCTAGATAGTAACAATAACTGGAAACGGGCCACTGAGTATGCCAATATATTTGCATAAGAATAAGAGAGATACTGAATCTATTAGGAGATCATTAAAAAAAACAGAAAATATGTTTTTCTAAAACGTCATCACATCATTTATATCATTAACAAACAAAACTTAGAGAGAGAAAGAGAGATACTGCTAATTAGTGAGCAAACTGTCACTTCTAGACCCTTAATAACAGTAGGGTCAGTGCACTGGATGGAAGCCCCAAGCCAAGGCAGTGGAGTACCCTCCTGCAGGATTCTGTACCTTTCCCAAGAGAACTGATTGCAAACATGAAACAGCATGGGGCTCCCAAGACCTCACACCTGCTAAACCTCCAGCAAACTTTAGGGAGTTACTTAATTGCGAATTTGATGCCATATGCATTTGCTACTTTTCCCCAAGGATGGCTCTTCAAGACAAATACAACCATGAGAAAAGCCCTCTGAAATTTTCATTTGCATACTGCACCAAACCATAATTACTTCAAGTTAAGAACGTCATAACAAAACTGAACAAACACTGAACATGTGCATCCCTGCATCTAGCTAATTACAGGAGAGAAAAGAGAATATTTCTGAAAAGTCTCCAATAGAAGCTTTTAACACAAGTGTGACATTTCACAGTACAAAATCTGTTTCATTCTGTCACTGACAGAATGAGATTCTTTATGAAACCATAAGATAGCTAGTTTAGGGATTTTATTACATGCACAGATGTCACCTCAGATAACTTTCATTCTACTTTTAATGGAAAACATTTGTTTCAGGACTGTGTGCAAGAGGAAACTCTGCCCTCCTCCAATGCATCCTGTGTCATTTCAATACTCTACTGGAGTATGCAGCAGGACAAACATGTTTTCCATGTTCTTCAGTTATGCCTCCATCTCAAGAAAGTAAGGCTAAAAATTCCTGTTAAGATAATACTCTTGATTCACAGGGGAAGAGGGAGGTAGAAAAAAGTCAATCAAAGATCACTAATGAGAGATTTTCAGAGGAAATTTTGTTCTTCTGAGATAAAGGAGAACTGGGATACAGCAGAGCTCTGTGGGAAATGGAAAATTCTAACTTCTCATGTTGCTCAGCATTTTCTTTTGAAGCTCCATTTGAAGACATCATCCCTGACATCGTAGTAGAAAAAAAATAAATCAAAATTCTAGATTCTGGAACAGTCTGACTAAAGTGATATTTGCAAGCCATTCTAGGAGCATGAAGGAGGTGTGTACAAGTTAAATCAGATCTAAGACAAGCCCAGACTGGGAATTGGTGTTGCAGAGAAAGAGCAAAGTTCGCTTTGCCTTTCCCAATAGCAGAAGCCCTGTAGAGAGCAGTGTAGAAACAAAGAGGCCAGGATGGGTCCAGGGCCAGTGCAGCTGCACTGTTGGTGCTGTGCCTGAGCTAACAAGCTGAGACAGAGAGTGAAGCAATACTCAGCTGAAGTTCTAGAAGGTGGCCTCTACAAGGCACTAGGCTGTGTGACACATGGACTTTCTCAGCCAGCATCTCCCCACTGCCTTCCACCAAAGGGGTACCTATACTGTAATTAAACAACTTTCAGCTTTCAAGAATTCCTTTAATTTCTCACATATTTTATCATCTTCCACATTTTGAACATCTTCAGCCTGGATACTGATACTGTTCCTGTCCTTTTGTGCCCAATTTGGCACAGTAAATGAAAACCAGAATTAGTATTATCTAAAGAATAAGTAATACTCTTAGAGCCAAAACAAACAACACAGACCAAAGATGTTTTTCAGAGGATGAGATATAAAGGAGAGGAAGACCTGTGGATTAGAAAAGGAAATGGAAAAATAAAAAAACCGATCACTTACCAGACGGTGAAGTATGTCATCGTTTTTCTTATACAGTGGAAAAGGAAACCAGCTTCTAAAAAACTCAACTAGTTTTGACAGGATGCCTTGCTGAAAGGAACAGAAATTACTCCAATTAAAAAAACCAACAAAAATCAAAGCAAAAATTAAATAAATAACATCAGACAAAGTTTTTATTTCTGCATTTGATTTTCTTGTTAACTCAGACCAAGTACCTGTAAGGAAGTTTCACTTACTGTGTCTGGCCTAACTTCAGAGTACATTAAGAGAACATCTGCTTCCCGTCAGTTTGCTTGTGAACAAGAGAATAAAATAAAATCTTCAGTAACCCCACCTATTTGGAGCATAATAGATTGTTATGTTGCTCTGTTAAAAATAATTACAGCTAAGATGAGATTGCTCTCAAGTTGGCAGCTACTGCACTGATATGAAAGACTTTCTCTCTCCTGGGGGATAAAAGCCCAAAGGTTAAATGACTGGCAGGCTGAAGAAAAGTGAAAGACCAGAACAGGAACAACCTCTCCTCAGCTGCCCACAGCAGCCTGAGCACAAGATTCCAGAGGAGTTGTAAACAGAGACGGCAAGAGGAAATGCCCCAAAAACTCCCTGTCCACACCAGTGTGTGCCACCAGGTCCTTTGTCTCTCTGCTGCTTCCCACGCAACCTAAAGCCACGCTTTTGTCTGAGCTGTAAACATAACTTCAGATGCCACTAATAGAGGGACTTCCTCTCAGCCATCACACATTCTACTCATGTGTCTTCCTCAAATAAGATGCATGACAGATTACAACTGAATAGATGCATGGTTTTGCTTCAGTCTGCAGCTATTCAAGGAAAAAAGAAGTGCAGCTTTTGACACACCATTCTATCTACTTTCCTCAGACTGGACTGACAGGAAGTATTTTTTAAAATATTTATATATTTCATATATTTCATGAATTCTGAAGCCCTGTCTCAATCTTCAGACTGCTGACATGTAAAACAATCAAATAAAATGTATGTAAAAAAAAATTGTGAAGTGCTAATATTTTGTAGCATACTGCTTCAAAATAATAAAACCCCATACAGATTCTAATAGCTCGATGTATAGAAGGTGACAGCTTCTGTTTCTCCCTCTTGTTCGCTTTTTTTTCCATTTTTATTCCCCTCTTGTTTGTGTTTTTCTTGGTTTGCCCCCCAGCTACAAGTGGAAAGAGAAGAACAAACCCAAGCAGCAGGAGCTCAGAGTTTTGTAGTTAACCTGTGCCCAGCCTGACAGCCTTCTGAAAGGCAGCGTGACCAGTCTGGTGCAGCAAGCCAGGGCAGAACAGCCTTAACGTCAGGAACTGTAATCCTAAGGCTCCTATGCTTCCACAATTTTTGAAATAACTTATTTTGGTGTACATTTAGGTAATCTAACTCAAGCTTTTCTTTACAAATGTCTCATCTTTCTGTGTACAGTTAGATTTTGAAATCTATGCCACAAGAAGTCTTTTTAGGTCAGTGAAGAGGTAAACCAGTAACAGGGATCTCATAATGATAGCTCTTCCCGAAACACTGACATCATCATGGTTTAATAGGAGGAGCTATCCTAGCAATTCACACTTAAGACTATGGAATAAATCCAAGTGATTGTATTTTGATGTTGCTCAAGGGCAATGACATAAGTCAGAAGAATGTCACTAACTGCAGCACAAGATCATCCTTCAAGTTTCTTGCAGAGTGGTGCAAAAAGAAATAAAATTTTCTAATTACAATTTGTAGAAAATTGAAATTAAATGAGGCAAAGGTCTTGCTCTGCATTTGAATTTCAAACAGATATTTCACTGAAAAGTACTTTTCCCTGTACATTGAAAGAAGAATATAGAAAGAGTCATCCATTTAAGAATATGCCTCTTGAATCCTATCATTTTCAACTGCTTAGCCTTTTAAGTCGTTGGATTTTTATAATGAACATTTAAAGCTACACCAAGAATAGTTTTACACTGCTACCAGCTTACTAAGCTAGACTGTTGAGTTACTGAAAAAAACCTACCGTGCTACATAAGCAATCTTAGTTTATTCTCCACGGTTTAGCTTAAAAATAAAGATCTGAGCTTGCATAAACACTCAACAGGCAAGTCAGTGCTTGAAAATACAAAACAAGACAACCCACTGTCTTGGGCTGTGACCCAATAGAGTACAGCAACACACTGAATTATTCACGTCCTTGGAATAGTGTCTCACAGTTTGCATTCCCACTGGGAGTGTTACTGACAAGTAAAACTACTTTCACCAAAACACAAGTCAGGTCCTGTTGTCAATGCTTCTGGAGTATTCTTACAGCTTTAGAACAACACTCAGTCAAACTCTCTGTAAACTAAATAACAAAGGTGCATAACTCCTATAATTTAAAAAAATATTAGAATAGTACATGCACATTTTAGGTACATTAATTTGAATCTAAAAAGAATTATAAGGACTATTTCTCTTCTGTAGAGAAATTCTTCAGAAGATAATGCTACACATTGAATACCTTGCATTAATTGGTTGGAAGCCCTAGACAAAGGCAAAGGACTGGTCCCTCTGCCATCCCACATCAGGTCACCTGCACAGCTACTCAGGGCTAGCCCCAATGCAATTCTCAGAAGCTGCCTCCAGCATCAGCTCTGTTCTAATGACAAAATATCATCAAATCTAAGGTGGGACAAGGTGTGACAGTATAATCAATATAAACATTCAGATATGCACAGCAGTCTAGAAAAATGGCTGAGAAAGGAAAGATGTAAATGGGAAGTGACAAATTCTGTAAAGATCAAGCAGAATTACCCAAATGGGATTTAATTCCTGAAAACAAGTCTAGGACCTCTTACTAGCAGTGCTTTGAGTATCAAGTGATCATGAGATCAGAACTTTAGCTGCAACTTTTTCCACAGATTGGCATAGCCAGGAACACTGCACCTACAATTACTATGCTAAATCACATCTCCATAATCCCTTAGATGGGAGTTTGGCATTTCACCAGCCCCCAGAACACAACCTTAAAACACCTTTACAGATTTTAAACTCAGTGTTCATTAAGACTATATTCCAATTAAAAAAAAAAAAAAAAGGCCAAAAAACCACCACCAAAACCACATGTCCTGAGAAGTATTTAAAATGTACTTCAAATTCAACTGGTGCCTCTGTATTTCCTTATGCCTGAAACATGCTCTCTGCTTGGCAGGACAGCTAGACACAACAGAAATATTTGTATCAGCCACTAGGAACCTTTTTCTTCCCAGATTTGTTTTTTCAGTCCCTGAAGATCCCAAAGTAGACCTTTGCTGCACCAAATTCTTGCTGCATGTCACTTGCTTTCAGCTGCCCAAGGTTCCCACTTGCGTGAACACAAGAGGAGGAAACGATCTCAACTCACAGACAAAGCAATACTCCAGCTTTACATTTTTATTTTAATAAAGTGTTTAAGGCATTTGGAAACTTGCTTTTCAGAACAGAAGGAAAGTGATATACACATACTGGGAATCACTCCGTGTGGAACAGCATCTGCTCCCTGTAATCATAGTTACACGAAGCCTCAAGGAAGATAATTTTATATTAGGACTGTGGGTAGGTACATATTCAGAAGCCATTTATTTTCCAGACATTTTATCATTTCAGTAGTAGACTAGGCCAGTGAAGGCCAAGAGAAGGAAAATTCTAACAGTCTCATGTAAAACTGAGGAAATTACTGGATAGGAATGCAAATTATTTGTCTGTATGTCATAAAAAAGTTGCAACAAAGCCTCAGATCCTCCTAAATCCAGTCTACTTTTCTAAATGTGTGGCCAGCTGCCTCTTCCTCATTTTCTTTCCTATTGAGACACCCTACCAAAATGGGACACAGAAATCAAATGACAAAAACAGATTTTCTGACATCAGATTGCAAAAGAAAAGTGATAACTCTTCCCAACTGGTACTGGAATTGCAGAAGGAACAATCTATGACAATTTATCACTAAAAATTACATACAGGTTTCTTCCTGATTTCCACTATGTATCCTTGTCTAGACAGAGATGAGACAATGTGAACATCACCTACGGTTTGTAAGAAATGGACAGCCTGTTTTCACACACCCACTCCCTTCAAGTTACAAGGCAAACCATGAAGAATTACTTCTACATCTGACACAATACTGGAGGAATTGCTGCCAACACAATAAAATTAAGTGTAAAATGTTTGAGGGGAAGGGAGGGGGAAAAACCAGAATACCTGAGGTTTTTAAAAGCAGTGTATATTAATAGTTTTGAGGTTCTTAACCCCACAGCAGTTTTGCATGTGGAAATTATATACATAAATACAATATCACACTGATTTTCTGACTGCCACAAACTTAACTATGCAAAATAATGTAGCTGACAGTCCGTGCATTACTTCATAATAACCAACAGAGTATCAACTAATAAAATGTCATCCTATTTTTTAATAAACAGTGAACAAATGTTAACATTTAATAAATAAACACTTAATCAAAGTATTCCTACATTAAGTCAGAATATGTATCTTCAGTGTAAATATACCAGAAAACAGCCATTAGCTTTAAAGAGAAAACATATTTTCATGTGGTTTCTTGAGGGTTATGGTGAGTGCCAGCTGACAATTCTGAAAAGCAAAAGTGGTAGACCTAATATTTCCATGAATACTTTTAAAGGTAGCTCAAAATAAACAAAATTTTGAGCTAAATCATGATTTAAATTCAACCTTGCCTTGTGACCAGTGATAGAAGCAATCATTATTAGAATGCTATAACTATCCACATCAACTATCTCATTCAGATTGGTTACTGCATTTCTACTTCCCAGAAATCCTCTTTCTTAATATGTTTTGTCACAGACAAAGCTATACTTAGCAACTGAATGCCTGGGAAGGGCTGGAAACTATAAATATTCTGTTCTAGAAAATTACAGGTTCTATTCCCAGAATGTCACACTAAGCTAACATAATAAGATCCACGACATAAGATAATTTTCAACACTCAAAAAATTATTTATCAAAGCTTCTTGCTTCCCTAGCTTACATAAGTGCAAAGAAACACTCCAAACTATACTGATCAACCAGACTTCAAGATATGATAACGGGCTGTGGTTCATTATCTGGGCGTTTTTGCCTTTGTTTTTTTAAATACAGGAAGTGATTTCTCTCTGTTCTGATTTCTCCTATTTGTGAAGCAATGCAGTTCTCTTGTGAGAAGATAAATGCTCAGCAACAGGAGAGTGCTCACCTTCTGGGCAGCACGCACAGTCTGCTCCCTTTGGCTTTCTGCTGCTGCACATTGCTCTGCCTTCTGTGACACTGAGGAGCATACTTCAAAGTCTGTGTGTCCCAAATCCTGCAGATATTGGTACAGTGGGGAATTCTGAAAAGGGAGTTATAAAAAGAAAAAGAAAAGAAAAAAACCAATGTTAAAAATCATTCTGTGTTTCCCACAAAACACCACTGTGAATTCAGCAACCACACAACAGCAATGAATGGATTGAGAAATGGAAAAAAAAAATTAAAAAAGGCTTCTGCTCTCTCCAAGGATGGTACTAGTACTCTGACTTTAAAAAAAATCCCACAGCACACAAACAAAAAAAAACCTCAACTTTTTAAAACTGCTGGCAAAAGGAATGATTTACAAACAGTCCTTAATAAAACAGAAAACGTATGGAATTCTGATCACCAGAAATGAATGATATTTAGAATGATTAGATATTTATCTACATAGATCTGCAAACTTTCTTCTTGTCATCTGCACCAGGTATCTAGATTTTACAACTACTTATATGGCAGTATCTAGGACACATTTGATGGAAACAATACCTAGGATAACTCCAGTTCTACTCAGGACATGTAAAGAGACTTCATTTTTAAAAGAAACTCGGCAATCTGTCTGATACAGCCTATTTAGACAGGGATTAATTTTGACCCCCGAAAAATTTTATTAATGAGAGTATGCAAACACTATCCAACTGCATAGAAAGAACACCAAAATCTTAATTTAACATATTATCAAACAAAATACTGTATATAAAAAGTAAAAACTTTACAGTAAAAGATGTACAGTTGTGGAGGCCTGCAGAAATAACCACCAACAGAATACCTACCACTAATTGTTACACCAGCTATCATTAACTTGCTGGTGCAAGTTGTTGTTGTTGTGTTCACCACCTAACTCTATGTACCAACACAGATGAATCTCGGACTGCTTGCCATGAAATAAAACTTGGAAGCCATCATTCATACCAGCTGAACAAATTAACTTGTTACCTTTAAGAATTTTATTAACCCTATCACTGAAGTGCTATTTTAATCCCTCTTATCTATTTAAAGCATGCAAAATCATACTTGTGTTTGCTCTGTTTCAGTTACTCACAACAGATTCAGCATCTAGTCATTACCTGAAACTTAAATATTCGTACCAACTCACAGGTACAGACAATCACACTCACCCACAACGACAATGATTGTGCAAAACACTAGGATAGTGTTTTATTATTTAGTGTTAATGACTCATTTCCTTGTGAGGATGTTTCCAGTGTGATGACACAATCCTGTGGTTTTTCCAAGTACCCTTCTTCCATGGTTCAGTATTTTTTCAAAATGCATCCAACTAATTAAACTGTGCTGTTCTGGACTGGCTCTAAGTAGAACATGCTATTTTACGGGAATTCCTTAATTAAAATGGAAGAGAAAATGTAATAGACTAGAATACTTGTTCTATTTAAGACACTGTTAAATTCACCTAATAACTTCAGGACAAAACTGAGAATATGCATGGATATGCATAACCTTGTCTTCTTAAAATGGCTTTCATACAGAGCCAGGCTGTGCACTGCCAACATACCTGGAACAACCTGAACATCTCCACACAAGAACTTTTAGAGTAGCATGGAATTTTCCCCATTTAGATGAAGACACAGACAAAGCAGTGGGTGAACAGAGAATGTTTTCTTCAAAAACCATCGTTATAAGGCTCGCTGCAGGCAGAACTTCAAGGAAATCATATCTCAGCTCTTGGCAAACCTGACCATCAGCTTGGCCATACTTGCAACAAGCATCACACAACATATGACTATTCTTGTACTTTATTGGCACTCACCAACATATAGACAGCTGGAAAAATAACCCAAAAATACCACGGAGTTTTTCTACTAGTATCTCAGGGTGCACCTTTCTTTGGGGTCCATGATGAGATAATTTTTAAAAGTTGATCAAGGAACCTGGTCTCTTGCTGTTTAGATTAGTTCCATTTCCTCACAGAAATGGATGAAGAAAGGCAGAATGAGAGGTAGACAGACAGAGACTACCCACTGACAAAAGAATGATCTAAAATCCTGAAAGCTATCACTAGTAAGTGAAATGAAGCATAGATGTAAGAATGCCCAATCCTTCCCTTATACTGGTTACCTAGCTATGTCACAACCTTCCATCTAACTGTAATTAGCAGGTTTTCTACTCCACAGAAACAGTAAAAAATATTCCATCTCTTCAAATGTTAATGAAATTTCAGCCCCTAACTAGGAAGAATAATTTTATTTGTTCTTGTAATTAAGGTAGAATATGGGCACCTTACTAGTTATATATAAATCCCTTCTGACTAACTCTTAGAAGGCTTTTACATGATCTTGTAATGGGTAAATTACACTTTTTTATCCCTGTTCAGAACTGGAAATCAGTTCTCTGAACTATTAGCTTAGGAAAATGAAGATTAATTAAAATTTAACATGAATGTTATTCCTTTAAGTAGATAATGGCTCTTCTCTTTCAGTTTCTCAGAAAGTACTCAGGCTACAAAATCTTCCTCTAACAGATTTCTTTGGCTCCACATGCTTTGTCTGTCCCATTCTTTCTAAAATATTATTAGCAGAACTTACTTGCATATTGGAAAAACCCTGTATTTTTATAAACTGTAATGACCAAGAACTATGCTGTGACTAAAATTCCTTATGTAAGTAAAACCACCATTGTTCCCCTTTCTGAATCCATTAGAAGCATGCAAGATGTGGGTAAAGAAAACAATGAATAAGAATTGGGTTGAGGCCCTTCTGAAATTAAATTATTGGGAATCTTAACAAACTAATCACAAAAATCTTCCATAAAGAATGAAGTCTCCTGTGTAGCACAGGCAGCTTCACATTTTGCTTAGAAAAATCTGAAGATTACACTCCTATTAGAAATACCACAGATAGCATACATATGTTAGTCTATGCTAACATAAACCCACGCTATTTATTTATTTATTGTATTAAATTTCCTACTGCCTAACAAGTCTGTCACTTGCAAAGCTGTGTGGTCTGTATAACTCATGGTTGCCTATGATGAAAAGAGGAAAAAATAGAGGATGTCTCCACCAATCTATAGATAGTATCTCCCATGACATGTAATTAATGTCTAGAAAATCCATTAAAACAATTTTTAAAAGTCGAAGGGTAGATTTCATGTGTGGAAATTCATACAGAATTTCCAATATTATCAAGGAATCAGAAAATTATTAATTATGCCGCTACATAACTGCAACAGGATACCATTAAAATATCCTATTTTGTATATTGTTTCAGTACAAGAGACAGAAGTATTACACTTAATGCTTACAAAGCATGTTTCATCCTCACAGAGCTCTAAAAGCAATAATTAAATCTATAATGTGTCTTATGTCTCAAAAATTACAGCTCTGAGTTTTTAGCTTAGATCCTTACCCAAACCTTTCACTCCTAAAAGCCTTCTTTCCCATAAAACAGACCGCAGACATGCACATATTCTTGAACATGCACTTCTAACTGTGAGAAAAGTTCCTTGTTTTCAACTCATGCTGTTGTTCATCAGAACTGTCAGGCTCAGCTGCTTTCACCTGCAAATACCACGACAATATTAAAAAAATATACTTCTCGATTGGGGTAAATAGGAGGCCTCTGCCTTGTTTCCTCACAATTTTATTTTTACCCAGAATTCATACATTCACAACAGTCCAACATTAAAAAGGAAAAAAAAAACCACAACAACTTTTTACATTTCTGCATGGGATATAAATGCTACACTTTGATTTCAAGAATTCAGGATACACAGGAAAGTTTATTCTTGCAAGCCGTAATAGGTGGTAATCAAAAAAAAATAAACTTGTGAAAAATCTTTTATATTAGAATGTGAGGTAAAGAGACAGCAAGTTTGTTTCAGTGGATGGCATGAAGAGGGAATTTTAAATACAAAATCCCATCTTCATATTAATACAGCATATTATTCTAGAGGAATCTATTCCAAGTACTTTTGAATTTTTACTTTCAAACACTCTAGAATCATTAGTATTACTCCCGTTTGATAGTATGGTTTGTTTATTTCCAGTTGTCTCTGGCAGAATGACATGGTAATGAATAATGTACAAAGTAGAGAGGAATTTTAAAAAATAATTAAGCTTATTATTATGTTACCATCATACTAGCAGTTACTGATAGGAAATATTATCTAATGTAAGTGATACCAAAACAAGGTTTTTCAATAATGTGCTGTATTTATTTTTAAAGTTTCCTCCAAATTGCTGCTGCTTCTTATAAGTAACTTTCTGAGACACACAGACAGGGATTACATTTACAGCCAGGGCATTTTTAAAAATTATGTTAATTGTCCAAAATGAGTGCTGGAAATGAAGCAGTTCCAGAACAGAAAGAAGACAAAAAGCCATTCTTCCTTGGTGTACGTTATACAGATTATATATGAAAAAACTCATTAACAAGTGAAGCTAGACAGAAACAGCTGACGTACTGAGTAGGAACAAGGTTTTTGAAAGTTTGAGGAATCAAAGTTTTCTATGGACTCAGCAGAGACCAACAAAAAAACCACTTATCTTTTCATGACTTTTCTAATTTGCTATAGTAATACTGCAAAGTCATTCAATTGTAACCATTTACAGGACAGTATAGGTTTACCTAAGCTCCCATTAACAGAATCAAGAAAGAAAATCCTTTCCTCCTCATTCACAACTCCATTAGCATATTTATTTTAGCTCCATACTGCTAAAAATTATTTCACTTACATATATATGTTTAATTACAATTCTCCTTTTTTGATTGCTGAAAGTGGTTGAGACTCATTCTAAACCCAAGTTATATTTTGCAGGATTAAAGAACAGTCCACTAAATTACTGTGGGTCTTTAACACTTCCCCAATGCTTATTTTAATAAGCACTGACTTGAGTTAGGAAAAAAATAATCTAAACTGAAGACTAAACATTGTGTTTGCAATTATAAGACAGTTTTAAAAAATCAAGGCAAACACTAAAAGACAATAAAACATAACATTGCTTACTATTAAGTGAGTAAAGGCTGTGTTAGTGGAGAATTGCCTAGCCTCAGAAAAGAGTTTGCTTTTGATAGATAAATACTT